CTGCATCATCCGATTCATTGGGTGTGAGGTGGAAAGTTGAAAGCTGGCGTAATTGATAATGGGCTAAAAACCCAAACTCCGCAGCTATGTACCAATGCAGGGCCAGGCACAGGCCAAAACTCCGCAGGGTACTGTAACTGTACTCCATATGCTGGGTATGAATGATGACTACCTCCATATCAATAAATATGACAATATCGATTGTCTGACTTTTCCCAGAAACGCCAGTAGATCGAACAAGGACACTGGCTCATACTCATCCAGTGCACCTCTCTTCAGGTGACCGCCATTGGAGACTCAACCCTGCAAATACTCTCCGTTCTGCAGTTTCCATATCAGGGGCTTCATCGCCTCCAGAGGTTCCTTCGAGGTCGACCCATCTGCCGTCTGCCCGGCGCCGTATTCCGCTGCTGTCGAACTTGTAACCCTTGACCTTCTTGCAATAGCGTCGAACATCTCTCTGGAATGTCGTGCCGCCACTCCAACCCAGTACTGCGCAGCCCACCGTCTTCCACGGACTGATAATAATATCGACCCGTCGATGCGGTGCATCGTTTTTGCTGGAGTCCTGCCAAACTACCAAAGCCTTGTCGAGTGTGTCAAAGCCTGAGCTATCGGACTTTCCCCCTCTCCATGATACCGGGCGCTGTCCTCGATCAGAGTTGTGAGTCGATAGCGTCAGTGTATGTGTGATGAGTTGAGCCTTTTCGAGGGCCACGACAATCTTGGTTATCACATTCAGTGTTTTGTTCTCATTTCGGTGGCTCAAGACAACATCAGCATCACCAGATTGTTGTTTGCCTCGCCGATAACCGCCTACAATGACCATCTCAAATCCTGGGTCAATCAGACGGGCGTGTTCCAGTATTGCAGCGGCAATGGTCGCGACTTCGTCTCGGGGGATCCCCTGCAAGAACTCGTTGTAGTATTTGACTCCAAGTTGCTGCGAGCGACTGAGCATGTTCCATCCGAACTCGACCAGATCATCTAGATCTCGCCATCCTAAAGATCATTAGTTTCTTGTGTGCTGGGGAAGTTCGTTTTCGTGCTCACCCTTTTGATAGAAGTCGCGGGCGGTGACAGCTCCAACTCCCCATATGTTGTAAAAGAGTTTGAGGGCTGTGATTTTAGGGTCGGCGTTGGCCTCACGTACTTCTACTGATTCACCTGTCGCTTTCCAGTGATGCCATAGTTCGGCGATTCTATCACCGCAACCTGGCAACCGCGCAACTTCTAGGTGAATTGTTAGCTGCTAACAGGACCAACCAAGACGACCAATAATCACCTTGGGCATTCCCAAGTACGTAAGGGTACGCAGCGATCGAAGCAATGGATGTGGAGTAAGCTCTTACACCAACCTCGTCTTCTCGGAGTTGACGAATGGTTCGTATCTCAGTGAGGATGTTCACAAACGCCTCGTTTGGTGGGTTCATATATGTCGGTCGCTGGCATGAATACGTGGTTCTCAGAAACTCGGGTATCACGGGCAGTGTGATGTCGTGTTCCGCTGTCGTTTGATGAAGGAGACTGGGTGCATTTTGCGATATTGTTGTGGAGGCATCATGACGCCTTTTGTGCCGATTAGATGGCGAGGTGCTTGTCGACTGCGCTTTCTGCTCAAGAAGGGCACGCTCCAGAATACTACTAGCTGGTGAAGTAGAGCCTTTCGGTAACACAGTTGCAGGTGTTGTCTCACGAGGCAAGACTCGATTACACTGGAGGATCAAGTAATGGTCCACGGGTAAGAGTTCTTCCTTCTCCCACGAGTCTAGGAGCCATGAAAGTTTAACAACCTTGACTATGTCTGTGCCAACTTGGGGTTGTTCTTTGACTCTCCTCCGCTTGGGATCTGGGCTACCACCGGAGTCATCGGCCACAGCTGTAGGGTCAACTTGGTGGCTCTCTGTTTGAGGTTCCCCTACAGAGGCAAACTCAAATTTTGCCCTTCTCAGCTCGAACTCGGCGCGTCTTTGCTGCGATATCTTTCCGAGCACGATCTCAGCCTCATTGATGTCATACGTTAATGTAGGGATTCGTTCTTCGAGATGGTGCAGTTCTTCAGGTTTTAGATGTGTTGGGAGGAGAAAAATCCGCGGGAGGTTATCGAGTCTCATCACAGCAACCCTCGGGCAAATGTGCTTCAGCCTCTGGTGCGGATGAAGAGGATTCTGGCTATTCGTGGAATATCAAGGCTGTGGTGGCTGACGTGAGTCTCATAATTGCACGCGCCTGGCTGACTGAATCAAATAATACAGTAAATAGGATATGCATGAATTGCAAAGTTCTGTTCTGCGACTATGAATTGTCTCGCTTTTCCTTATACAGGAGTAGCGGCCAGAGAAGCAGTTCGTTTGGTATGAATGACGTGGAAATGGACAAATCGTGAGGGCATACCTACTTAGGTAGCTTAAACTACTAAGGTAAGGTAGAGAGGAAATGGCTTTCATTGATGTGGGTAAGGACTCTGTCTCGATTTTATCATGTCAGCCACGGCTAGTCGCATGACTTACCTTGTGCCCATAACTCCTTCTGCAGGTTAATATGCGACTTCCACTCTATGTTGTCACAGTTGGAAGGCATTGGCTTACCTAGAGGCGAGGTAATCCCAATTTTTCATTGTGTACCTAAGTAGGTACCTAGTAGGTATTCAGGGCGAGCAAGATGGAGGGAGTGACCAAGACCACCAAGAAGCTTTCTAAGATTGTTCACTTTCTCGTTCGAGGTCAGAGAGAGCCATTGAAGGCAATAATATGAATTCGATCCAGCTTACAGCTGTTTCATGTTGATCCAATATGATATGTTCATAAGGTAGTGTATGTGTGTATATTATAAAACCTTAATGCCCCATGAGTCAAGTACTAGGTAGTTACAGTACCCTACAAAGGCAGATTAATACTAATGGCTTATGGGGCTTAATCTTTGCAATTCCCGTCCCGTTCGGGGAAGTGTAAAGTCTAGATCCGCTAATTGCTGACTTATGATGAGGATGATATTGATACCTGGCAATAAGGACGTTGGCCCTCTGCCGTAATTATTGTATTAAGCTGTCCAGCTCAAGATTGCTGAGAATGTGTACTTATTTGGTACTCTTATATCACGGTTACGAGCGTTTTTATTGTAATTGACTTCAAGGGATATCTGCTGTAGATCTAGCGACGGCGGACCCGGCCATTTAAGCTCCGATCAACCCATGCATGCAACAGTGATTGGGGTCTCTTTGTAGAGGACATCAACCTCAAAACCGCAAACCGCAATTGCATACCTTGCACCTTTTCTTCTTTTCTCAAGCTTCTACTTCTTCTTTGAACCTCCTCCCTCTCATCAGCGCGTTCTTTGACTAGTATAATTCACTGTTCAGAACGCAAAGTTACTTCCCACGTACCATCCACACTTTCTCCAATACTCTACACACCTCAGATCTTGACGGGCCATGGATCTCGACATTGAGATGGACGATGCCGTCGACACGGTCCATGACGCACCTATTCTCGACATCGGCCGCGATGATATCCTCGTAAGCTTGACCGACAGTCAGACTGCTGCCATCCGAAATTGACTTCCCTTTCAGCAACCTGACGAGCCTGAAGAGCCTGGCGAGGTGGCTGAAGACGAACCTCCGACCGACGACTCAAAGACCCTCATCCGGACAAAAATCCACATCAAAGGTGTTGACTCTCTACACACAACCGACATCAAAGCCTACGTCAAGGCTCACTTCGGCGATGTCGACAGAATCGAGTGGATTGACGATTCTTCCGCCAACCTCCTCTTTCCTTCTGAGCCCACAGCGCGCGATGCAATTGTTGCCTTGAGCTCTGTTCGCGTCGCAGATGCCACAGCATTGGCAGTTGGAGAGACTCTGCCTGCGAAGCCTTTTGAAGGGAAGCCAGAGATTTCTCTCCAGGTGAGATTTGCAGTACAAAGCGACAAAAAGGAGGTTGGTGCCGCCTTGCGCAGCCGCTATTATCTCCTTCATCCTGAGCACGATCCCGAGGAGCGACGACGCAGGAATCAGGAAAACCGGTCAAGGTACAGGGATCGTGATGATGGCTATCATGGAGGTGGCGAGGGCCGACGACGACGCGCCTCTGACGATGACGTCGAGACGTTTGAAGCCAGCATGTACGATGATGCGCCTCGCTCAACACGGAGAAGACGCGACTCAGACATAGAGGAACGACCACGCTCATATGCTCGCGAGAATCAAGGCAAGGAATTGTTTTCAGGCCGGAAAACACAACGCGACCGATCTGCATCTCCGAGGCGCGATAACGACGGCGACGATCTAATGGGTGAGAAGGCTAGCTCATCTGGGAACAGAGCGCGAGCGCGGGATCTCAAGGATCGCATATCAGGCAGTAACAATTCCAAGGAGTTGTTCCCAACCAAGAAGTCGATTAAGCAGTTTGGTGGAGGAAACTTGGATACCCTCGAGCGAGCCATAGGGTCAGCCCGCCTCAAGGATGAGGATCGCCCCAGGATTGTTTCCGTGCCCAATGCACGAGGCGATGGTAACTCATTCAACATCCGCGGCATGGCGAGCCAGCAGGGGGTTGGAGAGGGCTTTGCGATCAAGGGTGCTGCTTCAGCTAACGCGCGCGAATTGTTCCCTACCAAGCTTGATAGCAATAATACTGGAAAGGAGCTATTTGGAGGAGGGAGATCGAAGCAACGACAGAAGGCCGAGGACCTTTTCTCCTAGATGGGGACCCCATCGAAACATGGTACACATTATACAACAGCAACGGCCGAACTGGGTCAACAATACGGACTCGTAAGTGATGGGTGCTGGTGACTATATATATGGTTTTGTAACGATACCAAGGCGCAATCAAACAGATACATTATGGACTCTTTTATCTGCAGTTTCCACAAGTGAATCCAAACAGATGCCATACATAGGTGCTGGGCTGATCCATGTGAAGTTTCGTGGTTGTCGTGATCTGGAACTTATTCGTCTGTAAATTATAGGTGCTGTTGCTATGCTACGCTGCCGACTCCTACCACCACTTCTCAAGCATAACTCTCTTCTTGTCCACCCCGCCTTCTCTTGTTAATCCATCAACTATCTCATCCGTCATCTTCGCGGGCCCGCAGACATATACCACACTATTGTTCCTCTCACCCACAGCCTCCTTCACATCTTCAACTGTGAATCTCCTTTCATGAACATCAAGTTCACGGCTCTCGACTTGCCCGTCATATGTCCCTGTCGTATACACTTTCAAATCACCAATAAGCTGCTTTTCTGTAAACCATTTTCTGATTCTATCCAGAAACAGAACACCCTCGAGACCCTGCGCAGGTAACTTGCTAGCATAGAGAACCTTGACCTCAAGGTTGTATCCCTCTTCAGCTATATGTCCCATCATGCTGACGAGGGGGTTGATCCCCACGCCGCCCGCAACAAACACCACCTTGCATTTATGCTCATGGCTTATGTCGTTGAGAGGTATCTCAGATGGTGGGAAGACAAAGCTTCCTCCAACACGCACCTGTAGCTTGGAACCAGTGATATCGGATGGTGACTGCCAGAGCCATGCCGCAGGCGGGTTCTCTGGAGATTCTTGTACTGCTAACTCCAGGTAGGGAGACTTGGGATCGGCAGCTGCGCGAGGTGTAGATGTGAGTGTGAAGCCGCCTGGTTTGGGGTTCCCTGGGATGTATGTATCGAGCCATTGACCGGCAGAAAACTCGATATCGTCAGCATTCCTTCTGGCGAAGAGATTGGAATCAATATGGGATATGCTGTATGTACCTTAATTGGCCCCGACTCGAGTTGGAGACAATACAATCTAATTCGCTCATTCACCTGATCTATACGTTCGAGTCTTACATCAAGAAGACTCTAATTCACCGAAGATTAGTCGATGCTATGCAATGAACTTGTATTGATATGGACCAACCTCATCTCGTGGCTCCTGAGCTGTCCTTTCCAAATGACCACTGCGTTGAGTCGACATGGCTTTTAGTCCCATGCAGAAGGATATGGGGTTGATGGCAGCAAGTCCCAATTTTCGGCCCAATAAAGAGACACAAGGACTAATCGTTATAAGCCTGAGAAGCATGAATTCACATGGAACTGTCCAGGGGCGATTGTAGTCGATGGCCTCATGTTAGCATTGCATTGCCATATAATCTACTATAGTGGGGTGGACTATCGTTGACATAATAAACTAATAAAAGCTGAGTCAGGCGACAACCCACGGAGTACACACCTTCATCTTCCTGGCGGCAACGAAGATGATATTGCACGCCTCGACGAATTTTATTATTGCATAAAATTTTGTTGCAAAGAAGAATGCTTTACCGTCCGTTTTTGAATTCTATCTTCTCCAAGTCCAGCTCCTGTAGTCCATAACCTCGAAATACATTACCTTCTCCAAGGCACCATATGCCTCTTTTTCCCGTAAATCGTCATAGCTAACATATCTAGGACGACTCTGTCCAGTTGACTTGATCCATGACCTGTCCAGCCGTTGGGTGCGTATATCCAATCCTCAAGCGCAGACGCAGAGGCTAAAACATCCATTAGTATTACAAAATCTGTTTGCCCGGGATTGGAATGACACTTACCCCCTTGCATCCGGACACTCGCATCATCTGGCTGGCTTCAGCTCCAGGTCCGAGGTCCGATGAAGAGATGCTCAGCAGTTGCAGCTTCTGAGACTTGGGAACGGCAGCTTGTAGAGATACATTGGACAGATCCGCTGAACTAGAAGTATTGACGAACTTTGCGGTGGCTTGAATCATACCCTCCGCGTTACGTTGGATCTGGAATGTCACATTAAGGTCATTCGCGTTATAGCAGGGAATACCAGCAGGTGGCTGAGGCTGAGGTGCTGACGACACGGGAGACATGAGATCGAGGTTCGATGAAGGTGGGGCAGGGGAGGCTGTAGTTGGCACAGGGGCAGAGCCAAATAGATCCATGATATTCGATACATTGGATTGCTGAGGAGGCGGCGAGGAGGCAGATGGAGGAGGAGAAGAGGTACCACCTAAGATATCGGCGAGGAGATCAGTGTTGGTCGTTGAAGGAGCAGCTGGTGACGCAGCAGGCGCGTCCATAATATCCAGGAGGTCTTGTTCTGTTGGCTTGATGACTCTTGACTTCCTGTTGGCGGCCTTCTTCTTTGTAGGAGCTTGTCCAAGAACACGGGACTCCTCCCTGATCTGAGGAATAGGCATCTTCTCGAGCACTCCACGTCGGACCTGATCGAAGCTGAAAAGGTTGCCATATTCAACGACTCGCTGCTGAATCTCGATATCGAGGCTGGTCTGATGATATTGCAGGATCCTTCGGATCTTCTCGATCTGAGCTGGGTCAGAGAAGCGGGTTGTTAACTTCATCAAGGCTGTCACAATGTACTCTGTGGACACTTGTGTGGCGTATGCACTGTTAAGAATCAAAGAGAACAGGTCGACAACCTCATGCTCCTTAACCTCCTGGACAAGCTCCTCTTCCTCATATTGTCCACCCTTGAGCAAAGCGTCTGCATATTCGCCGATGCACCAAGCACCAGCTTGCGTCAGACTCTCTTGAGTAATATCTTTCTTGAGGTTGATATAGAGTTTTTGAACCGCATACGTCTGTAGCTCAGGGGTAGTAGCGACGAGGCGAACAAATGATGATAGGATCTGCTCCTTGACGTAGTTACCGGCAAGAGACAAAACTCGAAGCATTGTATCGAAGTGCCATCGTTTGTTAGGCGCAAACTTGTCAGCGGCGATACCTATCTGGCTGGTCATTGTTGGCTTAAACTCGTTATCGGCAACCTCCAAGAAGGCAAGAAGCTCCCGAATCAACACTCGAACATTGCTCTCATTAATCAAGGTAAAGCTCAGGTCGAGAGCTCGGCGGCGAATACTGATATCAGGATCTCTCAAACATTCCAGGATGGTGTTTCGATGCCTCTGCACAGCATTGGGCTCGATGGCGACAACCTTAATCAGGGTGTTGAGAGCCACGTATCGGATGTTGTTATCACGGTTGGTGAGGAACTTGCCCAGAATGTTGACACCGAGCACCCTTAATCCAGAATCGGCCTCGATGTCGAGAATCGTGCGCACAGCTTCGTACAGGATGGAATTCCCAACATTCTTGGATGATTCGGTGTTGGTAGCAACCTGGGCAAGGATATCGTTGATCTGCTCGCTGGTCTCCGCATCACCCACAGCCAGGACTCGCAGCAGGTGAAGGATCTTGACCTGCAGGAAGGGGTCGGTAATACCAGTAACGTCGTGTTCGGGTGCGTAACCTGAAGTAGCGAGCCCTTTCAGAGTTCTAACAAGCCCCGGGACAAAAGACCTGAACTTTTCAACAATTCCTTCTTCTCCGCCCTCCTCCTCGTCTGCCTCGCACAGGCTTGTCACCAGAGTAAGACCGCAGAGCAAGACGCCGTGGTTTCTGTCGGACAGAAGCTGTGTGGCCTTGTCAATGAAGTGCTCTTGCAAGTCTGGAACCTTTCGACATATGCGCATTGCACACAGAGCCGCCTTTCTTCGAATATAGGGGTTGGCTGTGGCTACGAGGGTCTCGATCTCAGGGAAGAGATCTCGTGACATCTCAATCGAGGCGATGTTTCCTAGCGTACAGAGAGCAAGTCCAACAACATATTGGTTGGAATGTCCGAGATCGCTAAACCAAAGTCAGCAACCAGATGTTTGATTCGGAGGGCCTCAGGAGAAGTGTACTTCTTGAGCGAGTTGGTGACCAATGTCAATACTTCTTGATTCTCATCCAACAACAAACTTGTAGCCAGGTGTCCCAGACGTTTATCGGCGAATCGAGGGGAGGCGAGGAGCTTCAAGCATTCGATCTGTCCAAAATGGGTTCGCTCTCCAAGGGTGAACAAGTAGAGTAACTTTGCGACATTGTTGCGACTGCCTGTGCATCAGTATCTCCATCCCTCCAATAGCACGGCCGAACCCACCGAATGTTGGGATCATGGCTTTCCTCTCGAAAGCTGGCGCGGATGGCAGCGCTCTCTTTTTGAATGACGGCTCGCTCGTCGGCGATCGTCTTGGCCGCACGCACATTTCGAATAAACTGCTTGACTATCCCGAGCAAAAGTAAAGGTAAGCCTCTGATTCATCAGATCGCGGAGGATAGCTCGTCGATGCCGTACGGGAACTCATCTTGGGAGGACAGACCCAGCGGTTGGGCCGTCTGGTCGACGCTTATCCAGGGGTTGAGAGGGAAGCGATGGGTGCTCGTCGAAGCTCGATCAGCTCTGGGGCAGAGCAATGAGCTACTGTTTCTTTATATATGTGTCGACGCGGAGGACAGAATAGGGAGGTTCGTCGGAGTCTACTCAAGGCAGCTAGATAAAAGAGAGAACCGAGTTGCGCCGTCAAGTTACAGGTCAGTGTCAGTGACGGTGTGTGCTGTGCTGTGCTGTGGTGTACTTCTGCTTGCGTTGCGGCGGACACCTTTCAGACTGGACGTGGGGCACAGAGCAGGCTACTATAGGTACCTACCTTAAGGTACCTAGGTATAGTAGATTTGCTTGACAGTACGTACTGCATTAGTCATCACTAAATAGCCACTAACTTAAGGTACATACTTCAGGCACGAATACATACATCACTCAAAGAGATATAAAGAATTAGTAAGTATACTTGTTTATTCGTACACGCATGATATTATAATCCTAGGAATACACACAAGAACCGCTCATACAGTGTTTGACCCTTTTCCTTCCCATAGGTACACATCCGTCCGCCACAAACAATCTTACTTTACATCTGGACGACTTAGAGGGTGTGCTTCCGTGTTCAGCACCCACTCATCCAAGCTGATAACATCAAATTCGCTGAAGATGAGATAAAAGTACTTGAGAGTCTCTGCCAACCAGAAACTCTCCATACTGTCCATCTTTGTAGGCTCTGCTTTGGTGACATCGTCTATCGCTGAAGCCGCAATCTCAGTTCGTGTCACCTTCTCGATCGTCTCGAACATAGTCCACGCCTTTTCCATCCATTGCGCATCTCCTGTGACGCGATACATGATGAAGATGGACTCAATAGCCTCGGGCCGGAGAATATATCGTCCATCGCTTACGTCGATCATACCTTTGGGGAGGTTGTGCTTCTTGACCACATCTTGAACTGTGGGCTTCTTCCAGTCTGATCCTCTCAACGGCGGCACCCTGAAATCAGGAGCGTGTTGCTCTTCGATAGCCTTGAGCCACCGGTCCTCGTTCCAGGTACAATCGCTCGAGTCCTTAGCATCGACGCCGCCACATGAGATGAAGTTGAAGATCTCAGGTCCAAGTCCCGTCTGCGTAGCCTGATAAGCCCAAATACATCCATCCGTGAGTTGGGAAGCGATCTCGAGATCCGCGGGGCGGTTGAAAATCTTGCTGCCCATTGCTACCATACCGCCAGCGAAGCAGGTCAGATGCTGGCCTCGTGCAACATAGGTGTACTTGGGTTGTTCGCCTGGCAAATCGGTTACTTGGTAGTCTCCAGAGATGAGGACCGGCTTGTCCGAAGGCGTCAATGCTCGCTTGAAAAGGTGCTTGATGGCAACGGGAATGAAGTTTTCGTATAGTCGGCGTGGTTGCTCGAGTTGGCCGCCGAGCAGAAGATACCACTTGGGAAGATACTCATACAGGGAGTCAGACATACCACCAAGGGTGAAGTCTGAACCAGCATGGAAGGCTGGCGTATAAGCATCAACGACTACCGGCCACATGCCAGGAAGACGGGTGTTGAGTTGTGTAGATTCAAACTGATCTCCAATTCTCTTGACAGCGTCATAAAATCTCGGGTTGCCGGTTAACTGAGATAGTTTAGTGAGCTCGAGACTCAAGGAACCCAGTTCAGAAACAAGAGCCTCCCGCGAGGGAGACTGAGCTTGGCCGTAAGCAGATCTAAGCATGTTAGCCACAATAACAATACGTGATTAATGCTGAGGAAAACTCACTTCTTCCATTCCCATCGAGTAACTGGCATATGGTTCGGTGTATCAAAAGCGCACATGAGCAGGTCTCCCAGTTCAATAGCCTTCTTCAAGAGGATAGGATGAGCTCTTCCGCTCAATTCATATGCAGACAGGAATCCACCAAGATAGCGAATGTTGGTCTCGAAAATGTTGATAGTTGTCATGGGACTCCTGGTGAAATCAATGCCGTCTGCGGCGGCAACAGCCTTTGTGAACTCGTCCTTCATGTCCATGATCCAAAGGGTATCGAGGGCATCGACCAGAGTGGCAGCCCAACCGCCAAGGGGGTCCTTGGACTTGCCAGTCAACGGGGTCACCTCGTCGTGCATCCAGGCATAGTTGGAATAGCCGCTCCAGCTGTGCTCGAAGCTCTTCTTGACTGCCGCCAATCGCGACAGTCGTAGCTCCTTGGCTGCGGCGCTCTCGACCGGAGCAGCAGCCTGAATCTTGGGGACCTTGACATCTCCGGTGATCTTTGGCAAGGCAGCTAGTTTCTCCTTGGGAATGGGATATTTAGGTAATCTTCGCGTCCAAGCTGTGGCGCCCTTTCCAGCAAGAGGATCTCCATCACCAAACAACTTGAAGCCAGAGTCCGAATTTGACCAGTACCAAAAGCACAAGATCCAGATGAAGGCCACACCAATCCAGAGACGGCCTCGCCGTAAGGGACCCGCCATTGTGTAGATAGGTACCTTAGTTGTTGGACTGCTAATAAGCAGCACAGGGTCTAGGTGAGAGAAGATAGTGAGGCGTGATCTGGGACCTCACATCGCAGGCCCAGGACGGGAAAAAGGCAGAGGCAAGTCCAAACAGAAAGCGTTGACGTTGGGGCTGTCAAAAAGATTGGCGATGTGTCTCGACTTGAGGGGGACCAACAGCAAGCCTTTCCAAGCCCGAGGCCGAGTCTAGACACGTTCCGTCTTATTAGAGCGACAGGTAGGTAGGTACCTTGGGCTACGGATAAGAATCGAAGGGACAGGACGGGACCGGGGGGTAACAGAAAAAGGGCAAATGGCTCTGATTCTTAGTCGATCAATAAACCCTCAATCTTCAGCGCATGAATGTCTGAAATCAGTGTCTGTGTCTGTGGCTGAGAGCTGTCTCGTCTCTTCTATCCAGTTGAAAATACGACATGAAATTGCGGCGGGCGGTCGACGTCCATAAGTCACTAGCCTACCTATACTAACACGTGAAGAAGGAATGCGCCGTACGAATAGTGATGAATCCTGCGAGTGTGGCATCTGACATCTTGTACGTACAGTACGGTTACATTAGTACCTAGGTAGTACTAAGTTAGGTTGGTAGGTTGCTGGTATGGATGGTAACTAGCAGCAGGATCCTTTTCCGAGGCACATAGGTATTAATTACCTACGGAGTACTGTGCCTGTAAATGCTTCCCTTGCTTGGCATTCATCCTTCAACACCTTAAACTGGAGAGAACCGTTGTCAAGGGGGTTTCGCGTAGCACAAACGTTGGGTGTTATGAACTCTTTTCGGTTGTTTTGCCTTGACTGGCCAATGCCACATTTCTTCCCCATCTGTCAACCCCTTTCGAACCCTTCCTTTAAATTGCAGAAGACATCTCGAGACTTTTTTCCTTGGAGAAAATCAGCTCGTACTCCTGTGGGGTCAAACCTAGCAGCTCCCTTGCAATATAATTAGACGATGTGGCATGGCCATGTAAGCTAAGCTGACCCAGCTGCCTTCTCCGACTGGTCTAGTTAGATATTTGGGCTTCGGTTCTTTGGAGCCTTATATCAGCCGTGGGCCACTCATATCCAACAAGCTTTCAAGGGTTGGCTCCCTCAGCAGAGGCGTTCCCATGAACGGATCCTCCCCCTGAACTGCAAAATCAAGACGGTAGCTCGAGTTTGACCATTCATGGCGAGGGAGCATGCATGTCAATCGTGTTGTATAGTTTCGGCAGTCATGTTATATATGCATGCATGTCCAAAGAGCCTGGACATGCTTTAGGCCTTTGGGGTCCTGGATTGGCAGACCTACCCTTACAGGCATTATACTCGATAAGCCACGCTTCCAGGCCCCCGCCCCGTGGGCTGTAGGGCTGATTGTTCTTCCATGCCATGGTCCAGCGAGAAAATTGGCTCCAACGGCGGACACGTTTTCCAGACCGCCCGCCGCCGATTCGTTGCCCCTCACCAAAGCCATTGGATGGTAGGCCATCAGTTGAGGCAGACTGGCTATCATAACAATCACAAATTTTATAACAGTACATAAACGGGCACGAATATGCAGTTTACGGGCCAAATGGGAAATTGCTCAGTTGTTAGAAGCCATGTAGGCAGATTCTGTGGCACAAAAGCCACGGAGATAGCAAGTAACACGGGAAGCAAGCCGAATACCCTCCACAACTTCAGTCCAATCAGTCCCAGATGCCCTTCGTTTCGCTTGCAGTTTGCCACTAAGTAAAGAAGATTCAACCAGTTCCCTCCTCATGCCATGCGTGTTCGTTACTCATCGGCTAGCGAGAGATAGCAGGACCGAAGGTTTGGTCGACGAAGTATCAGAATATTGTCTCTTATTTTTGCATCATGAGCTGGACGAACTCGTTGTCTGTGGTCTTGTCAGTATGGACGTTGGTATTATATCTAATCTCAGGCAACTCACAGTCGATTCGGCCATCGCCGTCCTGGTCAGCCTCTCGGATCATCTCATCAACCTCATCATCAGTGAGCTTCTCGCCGATGGAGGTCATGACATGTCGAAGCTCAGCAGCAGAAATGAAACCGTTGTTGTCACGGTCGAACACCTTGAAAGCCTCACGGATCTCCTCCTCGGAGTCGGTATCCTTCATCTTGCGTGCCATCATGGTGAGGAACTCTTTACCCAGTGGTTAGTACTGACCGTCCTCTGATCGCCTTGGAATACTACGCACCAGGAAAGTCGATGGTGCCGTTATTGTCGGCGTCAACCTCGTTGATCATGTCCTGAAGCTCAGACTCGGAGGGGTTCTGGCCGAGAGAGCGCATAACGGTACCGAGCTCCTTAGTGGTAATTTGGCCTAGAGCGAGGCGTTTAGCTCATGCTTTCGATTTAAGAATATCGCATAGACAGAGATGTAGAGGATTATAGTGGTCTGATGCATGCTTTGTTGGATCGATTTGGGTTTCGCACGGGGCCAACGAAGAAACATCGCGGAAAGGGGAGCATCACTCACCATCGCCATCCTTGTCCTGGATAAAGAGGTTAGCGACAGCTTCTAGCAAGACACGGCTAAGCAAGGCGGCGAAACAAAGGGGATAGCTTACAAAGAGAGAGAAGGCCTCCTTGAACTCGGAGACTTGCTCTTCAGTAAGTGAGTCGGCCTATAGAAATAAAGTTGTCAGTCCAAACTCCCGAACGGCATCACCAGAACATCAACTGCAGCCCCTCTCAACAGAGCCGCGGGGTCAATGCTCATTGGCGATAACGCCAGAGGACAGGGCGGTAAAGCAAATGCTGATTGATGGGTAGGTCGCGCAACCAAGCAACGGACAGGTCATGCTCACCATGTTGGATGTGTGTGGGAGCAACGGTTGTGATAGTAAAAAGGTGGATGTCGATCGCACGAGAAGGAAGAAAGATGACTTGGGCAAGTTCTGAGGTCGCGGGGTCTTGAGCCAAGAGTGTTGGACCTTTTCGTTTCGCGGATTTGGTTGGAGCTTTCGTGGGGAGACCCAAAGGTCAGGGGAAAGTCGGTACCTAAGGCAGGAAAACGGTACAGGCACTAACAGAGGAGAGACAATGCACTGTGTTTTGGATGCTCAGGGGGCTGATGATCATGGAACCAGGGGGAGGGGCCTCGTCATAGCAGCCCAAGCACACTGTGCGGTTTACCCTGTTGAAGCATTACGGAGTAGTCTAGGTAGGTAGTCTAATATTCTATGTTACCTAGGATAGGTACCTTAGAGAAGAAAGGAGCTGATAATTTGCGTACTTTCAACAGATTACCAAGTTATTGTCACAAGCCTTTCAAATAAAACGTCAGGTCTGACATCCAGAACCCGTTAATTATAAACAGCTTGATTTTGAGGAATAGTGTAATACTACCATAAGACAAGAGCTCTCTTCTTTACCTTACCGGAGGCGAGGTGTCTGTACATCTTCTCACTTCTGATGCAACTGGAGGTACATGCCTGAGTGATGTGAACCTTACCTAGAGGTGCCTAAACAGAGCGGCGGCCTAGGTACCTAGAAGGGGACACTTCCCCCTGTCATTTTAGCCAACGGAAGTGGTCCAGTGTCGTAATGCCTCCAGCCGAAGCCAGCTATCAGCCTACCCGCATCTCGACTGTATTCGCGATCTTCTCACTCATGACGACAATACCTTCCTCACCTCTCGTCCTATGACGTTCGCACTCGCGATTAAATCCAGTTCAGCTCTCTTTCTATTACCGCGCCTGTGATAGTTTTCAGTCCCTATTTTGCGTCCGCCATGTGGCGAGACCGCACGAACCTGTAAGCCGCCCATTGTTACCTGTCATTGCCTATGGCTGTCGGCTTCACCTCCACATAACGAGCCTATACGCTGATGCAGTTTGCAAATAAAGATACATCTCCTACCGGCAGTCTTACGCGCATCACCCTACACAGCGAAGACCTTATGGACCGGGCGCCCTTGCTTCTGGTCCCCTTGCCGACAGCTATACCAGCAGCTATGCGAACGACGATCGTCGCGGCCTTCTATCGGCCGGCGCGTTTGAAGACGATGGCGATGCCGTGATTGAGATGGATTTATTGCCCCCTCGATGGGCTGATGTTTCGGATGAGATCACAGACTTGCTTGCCAATATCGCGACAAAGGGCCAGAGCTTGGAGAAGCTACACCAAAAGCATGTGCTACCTGGTTTCAACGATGAAGACGCTAAAAGGGCCGAGGAAGCGCAAATAGAGAAGCTTACACAAGAGATCACCAAGGGTTTTCATGACTGCCATCGCTGCATTCAAAGAATCGAACAAATGGTGCGGGAATCACAGCACGCAGGTACCATTACGAGGGCAGAGGAGACCATGGCTAAGAACATACAAATCTCGCTGGCTGCTCGAGTTCAAGATGCAAGCGCCAGCTTCAGAAAGAAACAGAGTGCATATCTAAAAAGTTGGTAACCCCCTCCGTTTCTTCCCGGTACCTTCTAACTTGTACTCCCAGAGCTTCGTGGTATGGGTGGCTTTGGCGGGTTGAGTCCTGGCGAGAGATCTAGTACACCACAGCCAGGTTCCTATCTCGACCCATCTCTTCAAGAATCTGACGCAGATCGATCTTTTTCCCAATCGACACTCCAAGCAACCCAGCAGCAAAGAGTGCTCCATTCTAATGATGCTGCGATTGCTCAACGCGAACGAGAGATTGAGGATATTGCTCAAGGCATTATCGAACTGTCTGACCTCTTTCGAGATCTTCAGAACATGGTCATCGATCAGGGCACAATGCTAGATCGTATCGATTACAATGTTGAGCGCATGAACACTGATGTTAAAGCCGCTGACAAGGAGCTTGTTGTAGCTTCTGGCTATCAGCGGAGGACGACCAAACGCAAGATTATTCTCCTCCTCATTCTTATAATCTTTGGCATGATCATTCTGTTGGTGATCAAACCCAAGAAGCATGGGTAGAGGCGTTTTTTCATGGCAATCTCAGGGATACCCGCTGTCTCCCTTAAAAAATCCCGGCGCGGGCATAGAGAGGCAGCAATTATTAAACACATGTAGCAATACAATGTAAAGCAAGTAATGGGATATGTCATTGATGTGTTTGCAGTCACGGTTCTCTGTTCATTTTTCGTAATATTTATTATTCTATTTAGAACCAGCCTTTCTGTTTGGTCGCCGAAGCGTGTGATTTAGAAGAAACGCGATCATGGTTATCATAACTTTTTTCGAAAAGCCTAGGATAGCTCTTCCATAACTTAGGTTTTTGCTTCTCGATCTCCGACGCCAATTGCGCTTCACTGGGGAGAATCTGAGAGCCCCAGGCCCCTTCCACTAGTTGCTTCATGTTCGCTGGAGAGAGCTCTCTATCGTCTCTCGCCCTAGCCCTGGGTCTCATGGGCAATTGAGCCACTGCGAGACGATTTATCACTGTACTTCGCACTATTTGGGTATCAACGTAGACACCCTTGTCTCTCAGCACAGCCAACAATCGAACACCACAAGCCAGGTCGAAGTCGGCGATTCCCACTGGCTTGACGTTTACAAGAGAAGGTGGAATCGGCTGCTGCGCCAAGGTCTGATCAAAGCCCCATCGAATGATGGAGCGCTGCAGATTGATATCGAAAATCTTCTGTATGGGGTGTTGCCTGTTCGTGAATGGCAGATCTGCTGGTATGCGAAGTTTGTAGTTGGGGTCGTTTCGATTCTTGGAACGTTTGTGATGTTTCTGTTTTGGATTTGCTTCATTCTGGCATGGGCCTATTTCGGCTCTCCAGAACTCCTCCTTAAAATGGCTTCTTTTCTTCTTACCATCGGCGAAGGAGTAGTATTCAGACCAAGTCTCTGACTCCTTGTCCAACTCTTCGGCTTTGGTATTAGGGTTCGGGGGCTGGTCCTGCCGATGCACGGGTATCAGTCCCCCTGGCTCTGGCCTGTAAAGTTCACATATCTTATGACTTAGGCCTTCTAGATCATTAAAACGTCCCAAACGTCCAAGATTATAGAGCAATATTTGCCAGTATCGAACAGGAACGGCAACCCCGTGTCCCGCCACTCTCAACGAGAGGTGAAGAGCTCGGTCAAGCACGTGTGGCCTGTTGAGCTTTGGATGGTAGCATACATCTTCAAAGATATGGTTGAGAAGTGCTTCCGAGTTCTCACGCTCCATGGTTACATCCAGGCTTTCCATCTTATCAACAACATTCCTGACTTTTGCAAGACGCTTCATGGACAGAGCCATACTCAGGTGCTTATTGAGATCCTTGTAGATGATGCTGTCCTTACTTGGTCCTGGAGTAGCTGCCACACCTTCAACTTCTTGGAGTAATCGCTCTAATCCCCAATCTTGCCGTTGAGCGGAAGATGCAAGTAGCGTTGACCGTGTCTCCGGATTCCCAAACTCTTCTGGGTGTATATCGCAGTGTAGAAGGGTTCTGAGCAAGTCGTCCTCACCTCGTTCAGCGAAAGAGATGATTGCATCGCAATAGGCTCCAGATCTTACTTCGATCCCTAACTTTCGAAGTTGTGTCAGGCGATCGGCAACTCCGTGGGCGTCATCTTCTCTCAACGCAATGGATTGCAACGAATGATAGCCAATTGTGCGGAGGCCGATCTTATGCATCAGGTTGATCGCAAACTCTGGAGAAGTCCAAGAGCTGGCGAACCATCGTGCTGTAAACCTGTCGCTGAAAATACTACTGGTCGTTGCCAACTGGGTATCATTTTGTACAGAGGTGCTAAAGCCATCACCAACGCTGGTGTCTCCATTGAGTACCGCCAGCTCTTCCTTCGTGAGCTGGATTGCGGAAAAGTAGCGGGAAAGGAAATCCAAGAAAGGCATGGACTTAGGCGACTTGGGATGGTCGTTGAAAAGATTGAACTTTTTTCTCCAGACACGCGCGGCATGTGACTGGCCACTTTCAAAGAGAGCCGGCACAACATAGTCGTACAACTCACGGTATGGACTGAAAACGTATATCTTGGTCAGAGTAATCTGAAGCTTGGGAGTGAAGTCGATGGCACAACTTGCCAGCAGAGCACCGAAGCTATCCAACTCAGGACGGAACATGGGCATGAGCTTGAAATGCCAGCCCAATGCAGTTTCGTAATCAGCATGTGCTAAATAGAAATGAACCACTTTCAGGTATAGTTCAGGCCAACTGAAGTCGTGAGTTTCTAGCAGTTGTCCTGCGACCTTGAAAAGCTCTTCCATCCGGTCAGAATTCGTCAACGCTGCCTCCAAGATGTTATCACGCAGAAACAAAGCTCCAGTTTTGGTTAAGAGATGCGATTGAGCTCTGTCCTGAAGCTCCAGAAACGTCTCCCATATTCCTTGGTCTCCGCGATCCTGACGGCTTATTAGAATGCGACACTCCCAAGAATATATGGCATCCAAATCAGACTTCTGGCCCGAGGGAGTATGCTTTTTGCTTCCATGCAGGCGAATGCCCAGCGGGAAAGGTAATTCGGATTTTTGCGGCCATTGTGCAGTCTCTTGTTGAAGACTATGCTGTCTCTTCCCACCCCCAGCTTCTTGGCCAGAAATCAGCCTAGCATCCTTTTCTTGTATTCTCGTAGATACTGGCGCCAACTCTGTATTATATAGAGATCTGTGTTGTGTGAGTGTCCTGACGTATCGAGTATATGCGGATTGGCGGAGTCGAGATTGTATAGGGATTCGATGCATGGCTCGGTAAAATCGCCAGCATTAGCTGGTCTCGTATCATTGCATTGGTCGTAGCCGAGAAGATAATAGCAAAATCATCGAGACTGTCTCAAGACTGAGACTTTGAAATCTTCAAAAGTCCTTCATCATACCTTATTAGCTCCGAATCTTTTTGGGGGGCTCCGTATCATAAACTTG